TAGGGAATGCACTCCAAAAAGCTAGTTCATACACCTGGGTTAGATCCTGGTCCCACTGCCAGCAACCCCCCCAAACAGATCAAGCCACATAACTGTCACCCATATTCAGAGAGCCTAGCTCAGTCCCACACAGGTTCCCCACCTGTCAGTCGGTAGTCCAGAGCTCCCACTAGCATGAAATTCTTAATTACTCAAAACCAGCTGAAAAGTCATCCTGCTCAAGTAGTAGCAAGACTTAAAACAGAGCTGAGACTTGGTTCCAAGCATGGAAAGAAAGCCATCTCTCTTTCCATGCCTTTATTCTGAAAGTTCATAAAAGATCTCCAATTCTCAGAAATTACTGCTCACCATCAGACCAAACATGGTATTGCCAGCAGCACGGTACAGATGCTTTTATTTTAACCAAGAACTGGAACATTATCCTTTATCTTCTGATTTGCATCATGATGGAATTATTTGCTGCAGGCAAAAGATGAAAACCTGCTTCTATCTCAGAGTTATGGTGATATTTACAGTATGTCCAGGCCAACATACACAATTCTGATATGTAACCAAAGAAAAATAAGACAGAACTTTTGAGGAATGCACAAGTAGATGAAACACATTAAGCCACAAATCTAGAGAAATTCTCTATCCAGTGGTGACTGTAGCAGCTACTACAGAAGACTGACAATATTGTACTCTCACGGAAAGATAATGATACCCATAGACCCCCAAAATATATATGTTGACATTTTGATTGCAATATGTTAGTATTAGGAAGTGAATCCAGTGTGTATGTGTGAACCCTCATGGACCGGATTGTGTACTTCTAAGAGGCCAGATAGTTAAGCCTGCTTCCTTAATGGCCTTGCCAGGATACAGGTAGAAGTCAGAATCTACAGCTTGGACAAGGGATTCTCTCCAGAATCTAGGTGTACAGACATGCTGCTCTCTGACTTGCAGGCTCTAAAATTTCGAGAAATAACTTTCTACAGTTTATAGTTCACCCAGGATATGACATTTGGCGAGAGTTTTTCAGCTGATGAAGACAAGGCAGTAATTTTAAAGAGTAATAGTCTACCTGGATCTTCAAAGCTCCACACACAACTTTCTGTAAGTCTTGGTATAAACTCCAACTTTTCAATGAGGCCACATGGTGACTAACTAAAACTATATCTTACCTTAGCCTGCCACATCTCTCATAAGAGACTTTAGCTCCTTACAGCTATTGGTTTTTCTATTACCTGTCCTTCTACACGTCCTTTGCAACACCACACACATGGTCATAAAGAGTTCCTGACAAACAGAGGCGAGTAAAATATCCACTTTCTGACAAAGTCAATGGCTCTGGAATTGGCCAGAATTACTGTAAGAAAGAGACTATCTTCTGTGACTCTGAGTTTCTTTGTTGGTAAAATTAGGCACACAGGAGACCCCGCCCCATAGGATTACTTTGTAGGTGAAGTGAGACAGTGCATGCCAGGTGCTTAAAATCATGAACAGATACAGTATACTTTGGCAAGTGTTAATCGCCATCATTGTTATTACAAGATTTCCTGGGTGGTGATGGATTTGTGATGATTTGCACTCTCAAGCAACCAGCTCCCCTCATCTGAGATGGTGAAAGGGTCCTACTAGACCCCAAAGCTACCAGGGGTCAAACCCCACGGCTGTGGCCTCTCCAGACCCAATTCAACAAGACCTAGGGCTTTGCAAAGGAGCTGTTAACAGTGTGAGTGCTACTGCCTCTGACCTGTAGGAATAGAATAAACATAACATTGAAGCCTTAAAAGGCAGAGAAAGCAGCTCCCCTCTTCCTACTTGAAGCAAGATTTGTTTATTTGGCTTAACTGAAGTCAAAGCTAATGGTTCTAATGCCTTTGAATCCCCCAACTCATTCTTCATATTTCTCTTCATAGGCTGTAACTTATACTTTCTGAAACCAGATAAAAACCAAAAATAATGGTCTCTCATGAAAGAATTTACCAGAACATACTAATCATTTAGACATTGGCTTATGTTTCTAGAAAGCTAAAGATTAAGAATGAAAGTTTTTCCCCCTGGAGCAAAATCCAAGGCCAGCCTAAAGGCAGAGTATTAATCTGAACATTCACTAAGAACTTAAGGAAATAAGACACTCTGAAATCACTCTTTATGGATTCATAGATATCTCTGACCTCAAAGGAAGAAAAGATAGAGGTACCAGGATTAGGACAAGTGGGGATGAGTGAGCAAAATACAGAAGGGAGATTGGTATTTACTAATTTCTTAGCTGCTAAGCCTTCACTTGCCTATTAATTGTAAAAGGTCTTCCCAAGGCTGTCCTTGGGAAGTGGTCCATTGAAACAGACAGTAAGTAATCAAAATGAAATGAATGGCCACACAGTCAGCAATGAGATAATGGCAAACCATGCCCTGGAGAACCTATCTCTTCACCAGGAGGTGAAGTTGGAATTCAGTTCCAAATTCCCATGTGGACCCTCTATTTTTCACAAGAAGATCTAAGAGCTGTAATGCACACAACATACACTAAGTGTGTAATTCCAGGAGGAACCAAAACCTCCAGTTTCTGACGGTCTTCCAGGCAGTGTAAACCCCATCTGTCCTGGAATCACAGCAAGGTAGAAGGTGCTGTCCCACTGCACCTGTTAGGGTAGTCTTACAAAGACTTTAAAGATACATAATGTATTTCCCAAGGGAAAGTAAGATTATCCATAAAATCCTCATGGTTAAAAATTTTAATAATTCAATGATATCTGCAATATCCAGAGGTTGTTCATTTGTTGTCCATTGCCAGGAATTACAGAAATATATACTTGTAGTTTTGAAGCATACACAAACACCGCTGATATATATTGAACAAACTTGACACAGTCTATGTATGAACACTCATGGATAAGCCCCTCTTTTGTATTTGACATATACTATGCCTAAATTACACTCGATCCAGAAAACTCCCTTGATTCTGAGTCATCTTTGATTAACAGATAAATTAGTAGTTATAGCTTTGGCTTTCTTTTAAATTTGTTACTTTGGATAATACAGATGGCGAGGCAATATTATATCAGGCCACAATACAGCTTTATTTACTGTTCATAATTATATATAAAACCTTATATAAAAGGGGCTACAGTATAACCGAGAGGAAGCGAAGGGGGAAGGTCTGAGGTCATGTTACTTGGGTTTCTCTATTTTCTTTCTCATCTATCACAGAGGAATCTTGACTCATCTGAAATGACTTGATGAAAACTAAACACAGTGTGGCTCTCCAGCCAAAACACACAAACATTCCTATTGGTCTCCTCTGATCAGCTGAGCACAAGAGGTATGTTGGGGTTTTTTGTTTTTGTATTTTCCCCTATAAGAAGTCTACAGTGTATCTAAATCTGATCCCAGTAAAATTTGACTTGAACCGAAGTGAAAACGCAGAGGTAGCATTTACGGGTAACAGCTGGAGAACATTAGTTCCCTGTCTATCCCCTTTTCTCCCGAGGGTTGAAAATTCTGCTGTTCAGACAGGAAGTCGTCATATACCACACACTGTACGATACGATACGTTGCGATGTAAGAACACATTACAGAGGATTAGGAAAGCCCTGCAATGGTGTAGTTGGAGAAGCAGAGTAAGGACTCTCCTACTTCTCAGGCCAAGCTCCCCCCTCCAGCGTCAAACCCAGGACTGACAGGTACACTGACAGTCACTGAACACCCTTTGATGACTCAGGGTTAAGAGGCTTCATTGTTCATCTCTCCGCGCATTTTTAATGCGTTAACTTGAATACCTTTGGAGAGTGAGTGGCCAAGATTCTCCAATAATCTTTTCTGGCACACTTTCACACTTGGTATCCAAAAAGACTAACATTTTTTTTTCAAACTATTTCTCTCACATTTCTGCTCAGGACAAGAATATGATTACATGTATATATATGTACAAATACATCTGTGTATATAGAAACTATATGCATATATATACATATATATGAAATTCAAAACATAATGGTCTGCAAATGTTTTTTTTCATCGTGTGGAATTTTTTAGGGCTTGATTTTAGTATGATTTAACGAAGTTGCTCAGAAATGAACACAGATACAGACAGAGACCCTAAGGTTTGAACAGGCTGATAAGGGGATCCTTAACACCACAAGCTGTTCTGCATTCCTACCAGTCTGCAAGGGCTGGCCCCTCCTTTGTAATCGCCTGTGCTCTGGGGGGAAGGCCAACCCAGTCTCTTCACTCCCTCCAACCAGATTCACTAGATACAGACCTTAACTCTTGAACTGCAGAAAATGTCTTTTCAGTGTGCCTATCAGGGACATGTTGTTAATCACTGGAGTTAAAACACTACCGGCATTATGCAAAGCGGGGGAGGCGGGACTGAGAAGGCAACCCACACATCCATCATCCCTTTAGGAGTAGGCGGAGTTTAAAGTTTCCCCAACTTCCAAGTTCTCACTTGACAGGCAATATTTCTGTGCAATTTCCAGCCCCGGGTAACAGATGGTGCTCTGCCTGTCTTGAGCCTCGAGAGACCCCAGACAAAGCTCCCAGCCACTCCGTGCCTCGCGGGACCCATAGGTGGTTAGTTTCACGGAGCTGTCAGACCAGGGCAGTTAGCAAAGAATGGAAGCTTAACTTCTTCCAGAAGTTGTTTCCTGGTACGAGGAAGTCCAAAAGACTGAAACACAAAGGCCTGGGAAAGTTTCACTGCTTCAGTTCTTTGCCAAACCTTCACCTACACCAAGGTGCTCAAGGAAGGAAAGCAGGGGCACACGTGTTCAGAAAGAAACACAGCAGAAATGCAACTCGAGCAGTCCTAAGGACAACCTGGAAAATTGCTTAAGAGACCCCCGGTGGTGAAAAGGCATCCTCGAGGTACCAGAGATTGATCACGCAGAACCCAAAGGGAAGACGACAACCCCAACCGCACACCAAAGTACGGTGCGCCTGAGCTGTGGCCGAGAGGAAAGGGAGGGGGCGCGATCTTGGAGTCGGGGGGGGGGGACGTTCGGCCCACTCACCCTCACTGCCGTACTGTTTGCCATTGTTCGCGCCCATCCTGTCGCCGTCATGCCCGTCGTCTCTCTGGACACTGCATAGCTGGGACGCACCTCCCAGGCGGCGGGGCAGAGGAAAGCGGGCAGAACCGGACCGTTAGCTGCACATGCCCCTTCTGTGGGCCGATCTGAGCGGGGGACGGCCCTGCTCTGTGGCAGGAGGGGGAGTGATCGCTCCGCTCCCGGCACCCCCGAGGGCGGCAGGCCGGGTCCAGTGCAGCCTCTGGGGAATCTCAGAATCCGCGCTCCAGGCGAGAGGGAGCAGCGCGACGCAGAGCCCGCGCCCCGGTGCCGCCCCTAGGCTCGCCGCGCCTCCGCCGCGGGGTCCCCATGCGCCTCCGCGGTTGGTCCCCACTCGAGCGCGCTGAGCCGCGCTTGCCCCGGGCTGTCCCACTCCGCCGCTTCCTCCCTGCACCTCCGTGCGTCCGCGGCTTCCCCGGGGAGGGCGCGGCGGCCACTTGTTGCGGTGCCCCTAGCGAGAGGAGACTTGTGGCCCGGCGCTGCTAGCCTGCGGGCCGGACTTTTGTTAGCGCCAGGCGCCTCCTCTCGCCGCCCAGCGTCAATCACAGCTGGAGCCCCGGGGAGGAAGGCCGGCCTGGAGATGCGCGGCCTTTTAAAGGGGCAGCGCGCCTTTTCCGGGCTCCAGCTCCAGGACCCCGACAGGGCTCTAGCTTGCCGCGCCACTCGCGAACCCTTGGGCTCAAAAGAACGTGCGACGCGATGCGTTTTACTATTGTTCTTTTATAGACTGCAAACTTCAAGTCGCCCATCGAATTCCCAGAGAGTTGTCTACAAATACGGCCTTTCTGGGATGTGTGGCGTTTAAAATAAACACGCCATCAGTGTCCGGTTTTGACACACTTCAGGTACCTGTGCTAGGGATCTCCAGTGACTCCCGGTGTTTGGGGGCTAAAGCGAGGAATGGAGGAGGTAGGAAAAACTTGAGACGAACTTAGCTGGGAGTGGTCTCTGGAGAGCAAAGACATTCCCCGCCCTGCCCCTGAGAAGGAGGTTTCCTGTCTCAGAAGTTTTAAAAGCTTCCCAGACACCAACTACCCCCCCATTTCAATTGTTTTTCTTGTAGTTGATGCCCTCCTTTGTGTAGTACCACACTCCCTCGTTTCGAGATTTACGTGGCATTTGTAAAGCTTTTTTTTTTTTAATGCCCCTTTGGTATTCCTTCCATTAAATAGAAAAAGGAGGTTCTTAATGTTCTACTCCATTTCCGAATAAGTACCTACAAAGTCCCAGTGAAGAATAGAGCACTCATCAGGCTGGTTTCTTTGCAGTGAGACAAAGGAGCAGCAGTTTCTCCTTACAGATGTTGTAAATTAAATTAAAGCTTAGTGATATATGTATATATATATATATATATATATATGATAGATATTCTTGAATAGAAACCTGGGGGATTAGTGATCATGTACTTCTTCTAAAGGCTTCTGATGAGATGAATTGACTTCTTGCAAATTCTCTTTGGATAATTTCCTACAATGTTCTTTGTTAAAAATAAAACATCTTGTTTCAAAGTTTAAAATCTATACTTAAAATGCACATGCCATATTCTAAAATAAACTAATAAATGTATAAATGTTCAAGGGTAGAATGGGACCATTCCATATTGTATTAAGAAGATTTCTTGTTTCCTAGTCCAAAGACATGAAAATATCTTGTATCTGACACAGTATCTGGATAATAATGTGTAACCCTCAAATATCTGTTTAATTAAATGAAATTAAAAACCTGCATCATGGGCTTTCCATCAGATCCTCTTATAAAACATAAAGCCAATCCAAAACAGAGTGGATATCACAGTTATCTTCTTGCAAAGAAGCAGGACCCTGTCTGATTCTCGGGGTGACTTTGAACATCTGATCAGCCTGCCTCCACCAGCCAAATTACTGGAGTTAAAGGCATTGGTCTCCACACCTAAGTTTATACAGTGTTGAAAGTCAAACCCAGGACTTAATTCTCCATAGGCAAGCATTCTACCCACCAAGATGATCCCCAACCTTCATTCCAGCTGATTTCCTGTCTCCACATACGCAAGGCTCTGAACTGTATCATTGTGGCCACTTAGCTGAAGACAGATCAACAATAACTGAGAAAAAAGCAAATGAGGCTCCTTTCATGTTAGGTGTGGAATTTGCAATTTGTTCTGCTTAAACCTCCCAGATCCTTCCATCCTCCATTGTAGTGCATAAAGTATGGAAATGGTGAGAAACAAAACAGGCTCAAAAGGCAAGTACCAGAAATATTCAGGTTCTGTAGTGACAAATTTTATCTAGCTTGCTTAAAATTAACGTCTGTGTTCTTACGTTTCTGCTACCTGCCATAACTGTGCACAATTTAAAACACAATATAAAAAATATGCTTACCATCATTCAGAAAATAGAAGTTGATGCAAATGTATGTTGACCTACTCTCTGTGAAAGCTTGAAAACAGTAGTTAATCAGAAAAGGTTTTATTTTCATTAAACATCAAGGTATATTCATATGTGAACACACATATGTTTTTCAGAATTAAGATATGTATAAATGTTTTTATGCAACAGAAATTTCAATGTTTTTGCATAGTTTCCAAACCCCAAATTCTCATCACCAATTTACAAGCCTCTTGAGACAAGTATATTGTGTTTTTTCACCAACATACTGGACTTTCCAGCCCAGCTCCTAACACAAGGAATCACTCATCCATCACTTGCAGAATGGATGAAAGCTGAGCAAAGGAATAACAGTGGCTGGTACAGTATTCCATCATCTCTGTCTATGCCCATTTAAAGGGGCCAAATCCCCGAAACACAAACACAAGTCTAAGTGAACATTCTATGTCACTACAAAAGGGAGTGAGAAAGCTTGTTCCTCAGAAAGGAACCTGTGCCTAATGCTGTGTACTGGGCCAAAAACCTGACTAGCTAGGTCATAGGCCCTAGGGGAAAACAGAATAGACATATTAATAAGCAGCCCCTAATTTGTCAGCTTTGCACCCATAGATTAGTGTGTCTCTCAGCTCTCATCAGAGAAACTTCTTGGTTTACCAGGTGACAAATAGTACAGAGACCCTCAAGTAGTCAGTGTATAGAGAGTAAGAGATTCGAGCTCTCAGGTCTAACTGGGACATTAGATCAGCCCTCCTTCCCTGGGGCTCAGGAATAAGCACAAAATGGACAGAAAGACTGAAGAGCCAACGGTGGTACATGGAGACATCTGCAGGGAAATAGTATTTGCCAGACATGGCAGGGTCTTTGCACACATGACTCACAGCATCTGTGACTGCAACTGTGTACACAATATATCTGCACGAGATGACACCAGCAAAACTCCCAGCATGGACTGAGGAAGAGGCTCATGAAGTCCCACCCCATCCAAGGAGCTTTTAACCCCCCATAGCTCCTGGGAGATGAAGAGTCAGTTCTCTGCAGGGGTGTGACCCCTGAAAGACTACATACATGCTCTGGGAGGCATCCTATCTCATACAAGCTAACTAGCACTACTTTGTCCTGAGTGAACCCAATACAAAAAATAAAAGCATTCAGGCAGGAAAAAAAAAATCCACGTGTTGATTAGGTTTTTTTTTTTTTAAGTTTTGTGTCTGGTTTTGGTTTTTGTTTTGAGACTCAGTGTTGGCATTTGAGTACACATGTCAACTCTCTGATCAGTAGAAATGTGCTCTTAGGAGTGTGTGTTATTTATCCTATTGAAGTTAGACGCCAACTTGATTTATTACACAAGCATCGCCTAGTAGAGTCCATAAACTCAAGAGTCCTTGTGTTTTCTGAGGGTGGAACCACAGAGCTTTAAGTTAATCTGAACTTGAAACTGGTGATAGGGAGTCGGAGCCACCTGCACGGAGCTGTTACCCCAGGTGTCCAGCTTGCCTACTCTCTTCATCTGGTCCTTGGCTTCCAGGCCTGCAAAGGAACAGAACAGTAACCATGGTTCATCCAAGGACACTGTAGATAAGCAGATGCCAATACACCTTGGAAACCCATCTTGTGAATCACTCAAAGGTAGAACCTCTCTTTAAAAGGAAGAAACAACTACTGAAAGTCAGCACAGAACGTAATAGTATTTGAGGCTGCGCAGATGGCTTAAGTTGTCAAAGTGCAGGAGACACAAGTATAAGGGCCTGAGTTAGATCCCCAGCACTGACTTACAAGTGATCCCAGTGGTACCTCTGAACTCCAGAACCGGGGTACAGAGGTTGAGACAGGTACATTAGCCCAGAAACTGAAACACCTGGATTGTTGAACTCCATGTTCAATAAGAGACCCTGTCTCTAAACATAAAATGGAGGTACTAGAGAGTTGGCTCAGTGTTTAACAGCATTAGTTCCTCTTTCAGAAGACCTTGGTTAGGTTCTGAGCATCTACCTAACAGCTCACGACCATCTATAATTCTAGTTCCAGGGGTTCCAACGCTCTCTGATAACCTCTGCAGGCACCAGGCATGCATGTGGTGCATGGTTTGCCCTTTCAAAGCTGCTATGGCCTACTGGAGCTAATTTAATTCAGGCATATTGATGAGGTAGGTTTGGTACCAGAATTCAACTTTGGTCCATATTTCCCTACAAGTCCTCTACAGTCTAGACTAAGAAAGAGGTCATCCCTAGATCATGAGTTATTTGTGATGATCAGATGACTGAAAAAAATTCATAGCAAAGATCACAAACTCACCTGACACCTCCACAAGTATCATAAGCAAACATGTATGGCACACTTTTATGACTTACAAGGTCACATGACAAAAGAGAGAATAAATTAAGAAAAATGAATTACTGCACCCAGCCCATGAATAGATCCTATGTGGAAATGGGTCAAAAGCCAGATTATGTAAGGTGCTGTGAGCATAAACACTCCAATTTGGGCCGGGTGGTGGCACACGCCTTTAATCCCAGCACTCAGGAGGCAGAGGCAGGCAGATCTCTGGTCTACAAGAGCTAGTTCCAGGACAGCCTCCAAAGTCACAGAGAAACCTTGTCTCGAAAAAACAAAACAAAACAACAACAACAAAAAAAAAAACACTCCAAATTGTTCTTATAATGAAATGTGGGAGCTATGTGTAATCATAGCTCTCAACCAGGAATAGATGAGCCAAAGTTTACTTTGATCAGTACAACATGAATAGTTGAGCAGGTGAAAGCATCAGACTCAGGCTGTACTTTGGGGACAATACTGACAAAACTCACCTGACTATGGATTATGAAAAGAGGACAATTAGAAATGGTGGCCAGGATTTTGCCTGGTCAAGAACATAGAGGGTGATTAGGAGGGTGAAGGAGAGACATTTGGGGATAGCTCTCTGGCAGGGGATGCTGGCATTCAGAAATCTATATTGCACACATTAAACTTGAGGCAGCAATTGGACACATGCCATCATATGTGTTAATGATTCTGGTATCAGGAATAAGTCATCACTGGAGTCTTTAGCCTGAAAGAGGTCTTAACCACATAGACCTAGATGGCGGATATTAGGAAGAAAGTATAAATATTGTGGAAAGGTGGGACTAGAATTTAACATGTGTCAGTATTTCATCCCACAGAGCAG